TTTTGGGGGCGTCTTGGACCGAAGTGACCGCGGTGAAGGCCGAAACGTCGTACATGCTGAAAGTGTACGCTTCCGTATGGGAATCCATGGATGTGGCATGTTGGGGCTTCTTGGGGGTGCTCTTGGAGGCTCCCTGGGACGTCTGGGAAGCTTTTTGGACCGTCGCGGGGCCATCTGTGTCGTATTGAGGCGGTCTTGGAGCGAGTGGGGGCTCTCTTGGCCGAATTGTGCGCCGTCTGTGGCATTCTGGGTTCATTCTGGGACTGTTGGAGGTGTCCGGGCCGCCCGGGAGGAAAACGAACCTGGGCGGCGACCACCCCTCGGGACCCCCCCCCCATCCCCTCCCGGGACCCCCCCCGCGCGGGGAAGGGATCAAAAGGAAGGGGTTTTCCTTCGAGTCTAGAACGGCGTTAGATGAGGGCCCAGGGAAGGAGAGGAGGGACGGCGGAAACGGCGAGGAAACGATTGTGACGACGACGGAGACGACGAGGAGACGACGACGTCGACTCGAACGAGGAAGCACCTCGCACACGCCGACAGGGTCGGCGGATTCGTTTTGGTTGTTGTGCGTTCTCGCCGCTTTTCACGCTTCGGCTCCAGATTGTTCCGCAAGGGGCTCGTGGCGGCCACGCGCCATCTCCAAGCGAGCCCCTGGGGCCCACAATCCTCGGCTCTCCTATCATTTCTCCTCGCCCCTCTCTCTACGGCCGTCGCTCCTCCCTTCTCGTTCCTTGCTCCTCGCTGATCGTTTTTCGCATCTCCCACCTCCCTGCTCCACCCTGACTCCTCGCTCCTTGCTGCTCGTCCCTCCCTCCTCGATCCACTCACGAGCAGCAGGTCGCGCCGGCCAGCAGGAGTGCCGAGACGCCGCGCCCCACAGCAGCAGCGAGCATCAGCAGCACGCAGTCCGCAGCACGCAGTGCCAGCGGCAGCATATAGCAGCATCGGTCACAGTCATGCAGCAGGCAGCAGCACCCTGCAGCCACAGGCAGTAACATGGTATGCGAAATGCGGGCCCAACGTCATCGTGGCATCCTTTTGGCAACATATCCGCCCTGACCCCGCGTGCCATCCCGGACAGATTTCATGGCTTGTAGACCACGGGCCAGCCCTAGTCAGCTACAGCGCCGCGACGAGCGCGTGCGAGAAAGGCGGGCAGTGGCAGCGCGCCCTGTCGTTGCTATGCGAGCTGTGGGAGGCGAACATTGAGCCCAATGCTATCAGCTACAACGTTGGGATCAGCTCGTGCGAGAAATGCGGGCAGTGGCAGTGGGCGCTCTCTCTGCTCAGCGAGATGGGGCACTTGAAGTTGCAGCCCGACGTCATCAGCTACAGCTCTGGGATCAGCGCCTCAAACACTGGCGGGCGGTGGCAGCAAGCTCTTTCGTTGTTAAGCGAGATGCGGGACGCGATCGTGGTGCCCAGCGTCATCAGCTACAGCTCTGGGATCAGCGCGTGCGAGAAAGGCATGCAATGGCAACGGGCTCTGTCACTCCTGAGCGAGATATGGGAGGTGAAGCTTCAGCCCGATGTCATCTACAGTGGGGGCCCATGCCAAGAAATATCCTGCTTGCCTCCAGGGTGCCCTGGGCTTCTTGGGCTTCGATGGTTTTGCGATGGAGAGTGCGACGTTCCCACGCCAAAAATCCATGGACGTCCTGGGGTCTCAAGGTTGGGTTTCTTGTGGAAGGCTTCTTGTGGACTGGCCTCCACTGTATCCTACCATGCCAGAGATTCTGCATGCCCCAAGAGAGCTTCCAGTGACGCGGAGCCTCCGCGGGCTTCCGCTCGAGGGACACGACCCCGCTTTTGCTTTCGAGAGCCCCAAGGCAGCCCACAAGGGCATCGAGAGAGCCCACGATATGGCCTCCAGGGAGCCTTTGACAGCCCAAGAGTGCCCCGAGAGCGGGCCAAGACGTCCCAAACACGCCCCGAGGCGGCTCGTCGCGAAGAAGCACATGTAGATTTACACTGACTCTGTTGCACGCTTTTGCGAATTAGCGTCTCCAGCCCCGCAGCAGCGACAAGCATCACCAACAGCATGCAGCAGCGGCAGCAAGACGCGGCACGCAATAGCATGCGCGGGATGCGACGGTCGTTCCCCACATCATCAATTCAGCCTTTCGGCAGCATGTGCACCATCACATGCCATCTCGTGCAGATGTCGCGAGTGTAGTCCACGGACCAGCCCTGGTCTTTACTAAGTTTCAGGGCCCGCGCGTGCGGGAAAGGCGCTGTCTGGATGGCTCCTCCGGAGACCAGAAGGCCCCAAAGGCAACATTAGAACCCAAGACGCTCCTTAGATGCCAGTGCCGCGACGCCTGTGGCGGCCCAGGAGGGGGTCCGAGAGGCCTCCGAGATGGTCCGAGAAGATTCCGAGAAGGGCCGAGAGCGCTCCACGACGTCTGAGTCTCGCGGCACATGAAGCCCCCGAGACGCTCCATGATGCTTCTAAGAGGAGCCCCCCGACGACCCAAGAAACCGCATTCGTTCGAATCATATGGGAAAACGACCATGTGTTGCATTCTCGTGCTTTTCGCTTTCGAAGCGTCCATGACGATCATACAGGCCCCCAAGATCGCCCCAGCACGCCTCCACAGGCCCCTGTGAGGGCCTCAGGACGGCCCAGGACGGCCCCAGGAAGGCTCAAGAGGCCCCCACTACGGCCCAAGACGGCCCCAGGAGAGCCCCTGGAGGGCCCCAAGAGGTCCCAAAGACCAGGACTCGACCTGACGTTTCGCGACCCTCCGCCCCCCAGATGACCCAAGAGACCGCCATCAGAACCTCAGAGGACCCCCAGAAGCCCCAGGAGTCCCTCAAGAGGCCCAAAGTAGGCACCAAGAGGCCCCCACGAGGCCCCAGGATACCCCTGAACCCGCATCCAAGAGGCCTCCGGGGGCAGATCCTTTTGCGGGCACGCAGCACGGAGCAGGCACCAGCAGCGGCAGCACACGGCCACAACAAGCAGCAGCATGCAGCAGGCAGCGGCAGGCACCAAGCATAATTGGCCATCAGCAGCACCCTCAAGCAGCAACAACACGCGGCAGCTGCAAGCATGACCAACAGCACGCCACAGCGGCAACAAGCTGCCGCTCTCCGTACAGATGTGAGGATGCCAGGGCCCAGACCCACATTATCCGTTTAACCTTCCGACAGCACGTACACCTCACATGCCAATTCGTGAAGACTTCGTGGACGTAGTCCGCAGGTCAGCCCTAGTCTCTCCTACATGGCCAGTTGAAGCGCGTGCGAGAATGTCTCAGGGCCTCGTGTGCACAAAATCGCCCCTTTACGGCGCCACCACGGGGCCAAATCGCTCAGGCCGGTCCCAGAGGCGCTCCAGAGGGGTTCCCAGACCGTCCAAGAGCGCTCCAAGACGGCCTCAGTGGGTCCCGAGACGGCCCACGAGGGCGCGAAGCCTTCCGGGGGGGGCTCCACGACGATCCAAGAGGCCGCGAAGACGCCCCAAGAGGGCCCCGAGCGCACGCCAAAGAGGCACAAATCGTCCAATTCCGATGGGAAAACGTATATTTTCAGCATGCCCGCCTTGTGTGCTCCTCAGCGGCCCAGGACACGCCAAGAGGCCTCCCAAATCGCCCCAAGAAGACGCCAGCGGCCCCTAAGAGGGCTGCAAGACGGCCCACAAGAGCCCCAAGACGACGCCAGAGAGCCCTGAAACGACCTCACAGAACCCCAAGACGGCCCCAAGAGAATTCCGAGGGGGCCCCAGGAGGCTCCCAAGACGGCCTCAGGCAGCCTCAAGACGTTTCCCAGGACGGTCCAAGGCCTCCCGGACGCCCCGTGACGGCCCAAAAAGGCCCCAAAACGTCCCAAAACACTCCCAGAGTAGCCCCAAAAAGCTTCTGAATGGCCCGAACAAGACCCCGACAAGGACCACCAAGCAGGCCCAGAGACGCCCACTAAAATAGCGATCGGTGAAGTACAGCGTAGGGAGCTCTCCCAGGCACAGATCTCAAGAGCGAGCGGTACACCCTTCCGACCTCTCACACAGGAGCACGCACGCACAGCACGCAAGCACAATAGATTTCCTGGGCTGTCCCCCGGAAGAGGCTCCTGGGGACAGCGCAGGAACGGCCCCAGAGGCGCCCAAATCACTTCAAGAGAAAAGGCCCCCAGGAGACCGCAAGTCGGCCCAAGAGGGCCCCAAGAGGGCCCTAGGAGGCCGCAAGACAGCCAACGAGGCCCCAACAGGCCCCTAGGAGCTCGAAAAGAAATCCCGAGATGCCCACTGACCGTTCCCAAGGACTCGGCAGCGCCCACCATCAGGCTTCGAAGAGGCAACAGGAAAAAAGTCACCTCAGCCCTCTGGGTGACTTTTTTCAAAGCCCCAGGTGCTTTCAAAATTGACAAGCGGCGAGACGTAGACCGCAGACCCACCATAGCCGTCTGTGACGCTCCGAAGGCTTTCTAGGCGGAGGTAGAGTGGACGGCGGACGAAGAGAAGGAAGCGGTCCAAGAGGGCCTCCGAGACGGCCCAAGACCGCTCGAAGACGCTCCAGACGAGCCGCGGCAAACGAAATCATTGATTCTTCGATGGTTTCTGAAATATTTCCACCTTCTCGCCATTTCGAGCGAAGACAGGCCCAAGACGGCCTTTTCGAGCCAAGACTGGCCCAAGAAGACGTGGACGAAGTCCACGGGTTCGCCCTCGTCAGCTACAACGCGGGAATCAGCGCGTGCGAGAAAGGCGGGCAGTGGCAGTGGGCTCTTGCGCTGCTCAGCGAGATGAGGCAGGCGAAGCTTGAGCCCAACGTCTCAAGTTACAGTGCTGGGATCAGCGCGTGTGAGAAAGGCAGGCAGTGGCAGCGGGCGCTTTCGCTGTTGGGCGAGGTGTCCGAGATGTGTGACGCGAGCATGGAGCCCCTCGTGATCAGCTATAGCGCTGGGATCAGCGCGTGCGAGAAATGCATGCAATGGCAGCGGGCTCTGGCGCTGTTAAAGGAGATGTGGGAGGTGAAGCTGGAACCCGGGATCATCAACTACAACGCTGGGATCAGAGCGTGCGAGAAAAACATGCAGTGGCAGTATATTATTGGCTTGCTCAGCGAGATGCGGGAGGCGACGTTTGAGCCCGACGTTATCTCCCATTTATTGCCAGAGCCAGCGCGTGCGCAAAGTGCCCGGTTCTCAATCGATAACGTCGTGCTTGTACAGCGCATCGGCTGGAGCAGTGACCCCGGCTGGAGGCACACGTCCGAACCTGGGCACAAGAAGCAAGGGCAGTTCCATTACTTGCGCAATGTCTGGCGACTGTCTTCCACACTTGCTGGACTTTCACTCAAGGAAGTGCCCCGTTGGAAGACTACCGCATGAACATCCTGAACTCTGCGATCACCCTTCTGGTAGCGTCTTGGCGATCCTGAAGTGTGCCAGAACACCATTTTTGAGCTTCAACACCACGAATCAACGTAACTGTTGCGCCCTGGCGATCCGACATCGTGCCGAAGCACCATTTCTGGGACCGTAACCCTGATCATCCTTGAAACCGTTGAAACTTCATAAAACGGATGTGCGCGGCGCTAAGGCGAGAGTCACATGTTGGAAGCGACCCACCCACCATCCGCGCAACGCTTTTTTTACTTCTGTAAGACGGATGTGCGCGGCGCTAATGCGAGAGCCACACTTTGGGAACCACCTGGCCTCCATCCATGAAGCTGCTGTTTTTTTAAGACGGATGGTCGCGGCGCTAAGGCGAGAACCACATTATGAAAACGATCCGCCCTCCATCCGTGAGATTGTTGCAATGTTTGGGCTCCAGGGTCATACGTGCGGAGGAAGTTCTGGGCGAAACGCCCAGCCCGCCCTTTCGACAGGCCTCGGGGTGCGACAGGAAGGAGCTACCTACAAGGAAAGGGAAAGGGAGTAGGCATTGCAGGATCATGCTGGATCATGCTGGCCAACCTTCCGTGGTCGCGAAGCACGCGCAACGGTAGCGATGCAAGCTTCCCCTACCCCAGGCCGTCCTTGGGCGATAAGGTTCGGCTTTGCTCTGGAATTGTAGCTGATGACGTGCAGTCCAGCTATTTCTTCCCCATGCCGTTTCTCTCACGTGGCGGCGGGGGCCCAGCCGTGGCGACGAGGAGCGACGAGGGGATGGGATGGGCACCCCCGGGAGGCATTGCAGGGGGGCGAGGAGGAGGACGAGGAGGGGGGAGGCCCCTACTCGCCGAAAGGGCGCGCGCGCACAGACAAAAGGGGCCCGCGAACCGCCTCCAGAAACTGCTTCCTCGGCTGATGCTGGAGCAGTCCTGAGAACACTCGAAGGCCCCAGGGCGCCACCAGGACGTGCGCTGAAGTCGGGCATGTCCCTCTACAGGAGGAACACTCAAAAATAATCAGAAAAATAGTCAAGGGACGATTTTTGTTTGGTATTGTTGACCGTTTTGGAGTATTGCTGGACTATGTTTAATGTTTCGTCCACAATGCCCCTGTAGGAGGACATGCCCGACCTACACGTACGCAGACGGCCCCGCGACAGCCAGACATACTCCCAAGACGGCCCAAGACGCTCGAGCCAAGATGACCCCGAGAGGCGCTAGGATGGCTCCTGCGGGTTTCGTTCCAATCCGAACGCACGTCGTGCATGTTCACCACTCTTCACTCTTTGGATCCAGATGGCTTCACGAAGGGCCCGGAAGCCTTCCAGATTAGATTGCCCTTGAGGCCAACATGAGCCCCCCCAGAAAGGTCCAACACGCCTCCAAGGTATTCCCTGCGTGCCCCAGGTTGGCCTCCAGATTGGCCTTTAGATGGTTTCAGGACGGCCCCAAGATGACCACATTATGAACCCAACACCCCTTTCAGACTGCCCCCTGACTTGTCTGAAGGACTCCGCGAGGCCCCCAGGAACCTAACGGTGGCCCAGAGAGGACTCGCGAGAGCCCAACAATGGTTCAGATGGCCCCCATAGGATGCAGGAGCCTCCAATCTGACAGTTCTCTGGCGGCAAGTCTGCTCCTTCTTCTTCCGGGGTTGCCAGAGTGTCCAAGGTGCTCTCAAGATCATTCCACAGAGGCCCAGTAGGTCTCCAAGGTACCCGAATGAGTATCGGCGCTTCACGTCACCCAACAGGCTTCCAATCCAAAGATCGCTCTAATGAGCCACAAGAGGCCTCCGAGAGATCACACCATCGACGCTTCAACATTGCCGCTTGGGTAAAACAGATTTTGGTATACATAGGCACGCGAAGAAAGAACTCGGCCTGCCACTACTGGGTGCACGAGGAGAACTTCTTATCCCCCGCTGGGCTCGGAGACCCCCGTGGCACCTTACGAAGCTCAAGGTCGACGAATTACACCAGAGAAAACCCCAATAAGTGGATGGTTTGATGAGATCGATGTTGAGTCCTATCGATTGAGATGATTTGGGTCAAGTCGGGCGTGTCCCTCTACAGGAGGAACATTCAAAAATAGTAGAAAATAGTCAGGGGATGATTTTTTGATTATTTTGGAATATGTTTTTATTTTCGGCTCAAAATCCTCCTGTAGGAGGACATGCCCGACCTCAGATTAGGGAGATCGATCATGAGAGCGATAATGCGCCGTGGGATCGATAAAGAAATCGATAAGGAGATCGACTGCGACCCGGGGAACCTGGGAGCCCAGAACCCACCGCCGAGATCGGCCCGGAACCAGTAACCAGGAGCCCGGGAACCCAAAATTGGAAACGTGGGAACCCAGCCGGTCACCAAAATCGGCGGGAACTTTCCGCCAAATCTTTCAATTTCCGCTAGGACCCCTTCAGTGCAAGCACTGATCGGGGAACAGAACCGAATGAGCGGCTGCTTGGATCGGCGCTGCAACGGTCGGCGCCGAGGGGGCCGCCAGAGGGGTCCAGTGCCGATCCAAGAAATCCGCGCAGAGCTCCAGCAGGTCATGTGTACAGCAGGGGCCCGACCACAAGAAACCTTCCACAAGAAACCCAACCCTGAGACCCCAGGACGTCCATGGATGTTTGGCGTGGCCCTAGTTCTTCTTCAGCCATGACTCCTTCTCGTGCATGTTGGCTGTAGCCGTCCCCGGTGGGAACGCGCCGCCTCGTCGCGAGTTACGGGACGTCCCAGGAACGCCTAGGATCGCGCCAGGTCAGCACCGCGCTGCGCCCAGGGAGTACCACTCTGGCCCAAGATGGCCCTCCCCGTTTGGGGGGGGGCTTTGCATATCCCTCTCGGGGGCCACAGGCCCTCGATGCTTGTACCCGCCCGGGGTCCGGTGGCAGTTTCAGAGTGATTGTAGTTCAAGGCTGCGTAGCTCGACGTGGCCAGGGGACCTCATGGATTCTGTATCATTCCCCTTCGCTGATTCTTTTATATGGCGCTTCCCGTTCTCCTATAATCATCCCTGGGGGTAGGTGGCCTCTCGAGTGCATCCGAGGGCTCGCACAGGATTCCAACAGGGACCCCCCACCTGGATGTGAAAGCAGGCATACGGTGGAGGTCCATGCCAAGACACCTTGCTCGGTGCCAAGTTGCCTTGGGTTTCTGGGTTTCGATGGTTATTGCGTTGGAAAGCGTGACGTTCCTACGCCAAACATCCATGGACGTCCTGGGGTCTCAGGGTTGGGTTTCTTGTGGAAGGTTTCTTGTGGTCGGGCCCCTGCTGTACACATGACCTGCTGGAGCTCTGTGCGGATTTCTTGGATCGGCGCTGGACCCCTCTGGCGGCCCCCTCGGCGCCGACTGTTGCAGCGCCGAACCAAGAAGCCGCTCATTCGGGTTTTTGCTCCTCTAGATACGTCGCAAGACGACGCAGGAGGCCCGACGACGTCCTGAAGGTGCCACACAACTTGTCAACAATGCAGGGCCATCGTCACCAGCAGGGCGTTCAGCACCGCCAGCTGCCGCGGGCAACAGCAGCAGCGAGGGTTGGTAGGTGGCATCTCCCGCAGGCCTGCCCTGGTTAGCTACAGCGGCAGGCATTACCAACAGCACGCAGCTGCGCCAGCAGTCAGCGACACGCAATGGCATTGCTGAGCATTGCTTAACCGATCCCCATGCCCAACAGCGTGGGCTGGGCCGCACTGGCCGATTTACCCCCCTGGATGGGGAAATAGGCTGCTCTCTTCGGGGTTCGAGGGGCACATCCCCAACTGGGGGGATGAGATGGTGGGGGTCTGGATGGGGATGGGGATGGGGATCGGTTAAACGATACTGAATGCTGGGAATGCGAAGGTCGAGCCCCGCGTCATCATTTTAGCCGTTCGGCAGCATGTCAACCAACCATCACATGCAAGTTCGTGCAGATCTCGTGGACGTCGTCCCCGGGCCGGCCCTGGTCAGCTACAGCGCTGGGATCAGCGCGTGCGAGAAGGGTGAGCAGTGGCAGCGGGTTTTGGCGCTGCTTCGCGGGCTTCCAGAGGTGGTGATTGGATCCCGACGATGGGATCGGCGCGTGTGAGAAAGGCAGGCCGTGGCAGTGGGCGCTTTCGCTGTTGAGCGAGGTTGTCGAGATGTGCGACGCGAGCAAGGAGCCCCTCGTGATCAGCTGTAACGCTGGGATCAGCGCGGGCGAGAAGTACATGCAATGGCAGCGGGCTCCAGCGCTGTTAAAGGAGATGTGGGAGGTGAAGCTGGAACCCGGGAATACCAACTACAACGCTGGGGTCAGAGCGTGCTAGAAAAGCTTGCAGTGGCAGTATGTTCTTGTCTTGCTCGGCGAGATGTGTGAGACGAAGTTTGTGCCCGACGTTATCTCCCCTTCAATGCCAGAGCCAGCGCATGCAAACAAGGCCTGGTTCTCAATCGACATCGCCGTGCTTCTACAGCGAATCGGCTGGAGCAGTGACCCCTGCTGGAGGCACACGTCCGAACCTGGGCACAAGAAGCAAGTGCAGTTCCAGAACAATGCGCAATGTCTGGCGACTGTCGTCCATACTTGTTGATTGTTGCGCGCAGGGCTGAGAAACCGAGGAGGAGGAGGAGGGGGAGGAGGAGAAGCAGGAGCAGGAGTAGGAGGAGGAGGACCATTGCACACCCAAGACTCACCAACGATATTGCAAAATACCATCCCTCCAAGTTCCCTCTTCATAGGCCGTCACAACGATTCATTTTCACTCAAGGAAGTGCCCCGTTGGAAGAGTACCGCTTGAACATCCTGAACTCTGCTGGAACACCATTCCTTGGCGCGAATCACCGTTCTGGTTGCGTCTTGGTGATCCGGAATCGTGTCAGAACACCATTCCTGAGTTTTCAACACCATTCTTGGCTCGGCGCGTTTGAGAAAGGCAGGCCGTGGCAGCGGGCGCTTTCGCTGCTGGGCATCGAGGTGTCCGAGATGTGCAAAGCGAACATAGAGTCCAGCGTTCTATATATATATATATATATATATATAAATATATATCATAATTCTGGGCGTTGCGCGTGAGGAAAGACAAGGTAAGGCAAAACATCCGGACCCGATACTTGGCATTTATTTTCTCCGTGGTTTGTGGTGGCGTCGTGAGGCGGCAGGCCTGCTGCGAGCGGCGAGGGTGCCCCTCTTGCAGCGATGTCTTTGTCTCCGCCTGAGTGGCCAGGCTATGTCTCCTCCTCTGCTGCCGTTATCCCCGGCCCTCCTCCGTCGCTTCGGCTGTTCCCGGGGGTCCATGCCGCGCCCGCGATTTTCGTTTCTAGTTTGTTTTATGTGCACATGCAGCTTGTCAGGGCTTGGCCCGCGGCCGCGGTTGGCCGACCCCGGGGGCCCCTCTTGTCGCCCAGGGATTGCCCTCTCGCCGCGTGGACGCCGTCCTCCGCTGCTGTGGGGCACTGCCGTGCCTCATCCACGCAGTCATGCATCATGTTCTAGAAACGCATCGGTTGGCGAGTGATTACACCCAACGTGCTGATTAGCATGCATTGCCCTTGACTGTTTTGCCAGATCCAGTTCTGTTCGGTGTGCCTACGTTTTTCTGTTTGGCTTCTGCCATCGGCGTGATCATAGTCCGCGTTTTTGTGTGATATCATGCTCGACGCCGTGTCAGTTACTAGTATTACTGTGCGGCCCGCTGTCCACTTAACGTTAGGTTGCCATTGTGTGAGGCCTGATTATATAAATGGTCAGTTGGACCGTCGGGGATGCACAGCATTTGAAGACGCCTTTTCCAGCAACATGTTGTCTTACGGGTCCTTTCCGCGTTGCCATACCTCGTCCTCTTCCTCTTCCTCCTCCTCCTCCTCCCCTCCCTCCGTATCCGTAGCCATTTTGGCTCAAGGTGTTTTTTCTTTGGGGCCAGAAGTGGATACCTCTGGTCCGAGGCTAGCTTCGGTTTCAGGCATCCCTGTCGAGCTGCGCGCTGCTGGGGCCAAGGGTCTTTCGCCTTCCCGCGATGGTGCTAGCTTTCCAGCAGGGCCTTGCGGCCACGAGTGCTTTTGATAACAGGGTCTTCTTTCTCTCGCGACGACCAACTCTTGTCAGTGCCCGCGCAGCCACAACGGACTTAGGTGGCGACAGCGCGGAGGCTCCCCGCAGTGGTCGACCGATCCCATGTCTCATTCTGATAACAGTTTTTTGATGAGCCCACGACACGGATTTCAGTCGAAGCGACAACGCTGAAGCTCGCAGACAGCAACACCACGACCCACCTCTCCGCCGCTCTGGTCGTCCTCCTCGTGGTGAGCGTGATCGTGATCGTGAACACCCTCGAGGAGATAGCGATCGACGTCGAGGACCCACAAGTTCTGATCAAACTGGCCTTCGACATTCTCGTCGACCTGGTACCCGTCGTCATGAATCTAGTGCAGGCACGAGCAGCGGCACTGGCGAGTCAGCTGCCATATTTGCTGCTTTATCGATTGCCGAGCGGGAGCAGCTTGCCCGCGATGTTAAAATGGCACCGACTAGTCCTGACACTGAAGCTCGCGACGCTCCTCATGCTGGCTACCACGCTGTCCCTGCCACCTCCTGTGGCAGGTCATGAAGCCGCTGACTCACTGCAGGCGCAGGACCCGCGGCGAAAGGCACGCGTCGATGATGGCCTTGAGCGCCGTCTTTCGTGAAGCAGCTCAGGTGGGCATTGACTTTGCGCGTGCTGCCGCAGCTGCTGCTTCGGCCAGCGCTGCCGCCAACGCGGCTGCCGCTCAACTACAAATCCATTTCTGGCGAGCTGCGCACGTCGTTCCTCGCGGAGCAGGCGCAGACGCATCGGTAACTGGATATTCAAGCTCGTGAAGTTCAAGAACTACGTCAACGGCAGGATCGGGCTGCTGCTGACCAAGCGGCTACACGGACAGCTGTCGAGGACATCAGGCGGCAGCTGGCAGCGGTTGAGGCGCAGCTGTCTTTCGATGTGGACAACTTGGCGACGTGGGACCGCGCGGTGGACCCTCACGTCCTCTCCGTGGACACGGTGGCCCCTGCTGCTCCTGGTGCGGTTCGTGATGCACTCGCTCCCTGGCTGGCCGACGCGAAGTTGCTGCCCGAGCAGGTGGATTTCATCAGCGACGTCGTGGCAAGACGGTTCACCCTGCGCGTTTTGGGCAGCATAGCTGAGGCCAGCACCCGGGCCTGGCCTGCCAGAGGAGAGCCGGGGGCCCAGGGGGGCAGCCGTCGCGCGTTGCTGCGTGGCGCCCGAATTCCTTGGCCGCGTTGCCGGATCTGTTGTCGTCCAGCCGGGCAGGCGGGAGAGTGGCGCTGGCGTTCTTCCGGACCTGGCGGCCACTGCGCTGGTCAGGAACCTGCGCACCCCCTGCTGGATGGCGCACGTTCCAGGTCTCCTCAACTGATGGGGCTATGGTCGCCATGTACGTCTCGACCGGCAAGAGCCCCGAGATCGTGCGTGGCGAGGTGCATCCCAGGCGGTTGTCAAAGCTATTGGGAGAGAAGAACCCTACACTTACGTGGCGGTCTCGGCGCGCTCAGTACCAGGTGCAGGTCAACGGCGCGCCGTGCTGCCAGCTCGAGCTTCAAGGGCAAGACGAGCCGACGCGCGCCAGGTGGAACAACAATGCGACGGCGGGTGCCATTTCGCCGTGACGCTGAACATGGTCTACGCCTCATATGCCGGAATGCGCGGAGCCTCCTTTTCTCAACCCGAAGAAGCGCGATGCCAAGCTGCGCATCTTGACTGAGTATATGCGGCAGCGCTTCCTCATTGTCCTTCAAGAGGTCCGCGGAAATCTGCGCAGACTGCAACGGCTCGTCGATGGCGCGCCCTGCACCTACGAGTGCTTCATGTCCGCGACTGGGGCATCTGCTGGTGGCGTGGCGTTTCGTGTTCCGCGTCATCCGCCTCGCCGGCCGGCGCCTGGGCATCTGGGGCCAGCTTGCGTTTTGCATTCGATCGTTCCTGGTCGCGCTGCAGCCCTGCATGTCTCGCCCCCTGCGCAGGGGCATTCCATGTGTATTTTGAACGTGCGCAATCATCATTTCACTGCTCTCGACGTGCGCGAGGTTGAACTTCTCTGGTCTCAGCAAGTCGCGTTTGCAGCAAGGCGTGAACGTGCCTTTAAGTTTGTTGGTCTCGGTGGCTTTACCATCCCTGAGTCTCCTCCTCGCTGCTTTCGTTTTCCGTCGGCCCCGCGCCCGGCCCCCGCTCCGATTCTTCCTGTTATCGGCAATCGAGGCCAGCGCGTGCGTGCTCGGCGGCGTCGCATGTTTGCTTCCGTCACGGAGGTCACTCATGATTTGCCCACTTGGTATGATTCGCATCGGCTGCAGGTCACGTGCATTTATCGAGTTTTCATATCCGGGTGCCCGTCTCAGCTGATGCTGGTCGATGCCGCGCCACAGGTAGCGCGCGAATGCGCGCGATTGTCCGGTCGCGGTCTTTCCGACCATGCTGTGCTCATGCTTGAGCTCTCTCTGTCCATTGCTCGACCCCCGCAGGGGCGCGCAACTCCCCCTATCTTTATCGCACTGGAGTTTCAACGGATTTGTGCCAGCATGTTTTCGTGCGCAGATTTCGAGCAGCTTAATGCCATCGCGGCGAGGCAAGGAGTGAAGGAAGTCATGTGTTAAGCTGCTGCTGTCATCCCGTGACCTGCTTCAGGGCCCCGAGTACCTGTGCAGCGCGCATATGGAAGCGCCAGCCACACGGATGCATCTTTTTCGTTTTATGGCTCGCGCACTCCGGAGGAACGACGTGCGCGCCGCCTCTCGCCTCATCGCTACTGCCCCTCTTGCTGCTTCTCACCTCGTCGCCGTTGAGGGCCAGGTCTGTCTCCTCGACCCCCCCTCCATTCACGCGGCGCGATGCTTCTAATGGTGAACGGCATCAACGGACCGCTTTGCAGGCCAGCATGAGCATCTCACAATATGATGAGTTTGGACGTCACAAGGATGAAGTTTGCCAGCGCAAGATTGAGCGCAACGCTGCCAGAAGAGCTCGTCCGTTGACGTCGTGGTCTCGCCAGCTCCGCGTAGAGGGTGTGCGCGTGCACGTGCAGGATGGCAGTGGTGAGAGAGTGAACGTCGTCATGAGAGATCCGGAGATTGTCAATGCCGTGCAAGCTCATTGGCAACCCGTCCTTGCTGCTCGCGAGTCGCGCGATGATGACATCCCCGCCTTTCTGCAGTCTGTCCCCCCGCCCGCCCCTACGTTTGAC